CACACACACACACACACACACACACACACATACACAGCCTTTCTCTATCTCTATCCCTATCTCTATCTTTTCTCTTTCTCTTTCTCTCTATCTCTATTCCTATTCCTATCCATATCCTTTTCTCTCTATCATGTCTATCTCTATCTCTATCTGTCTCTATCTCTATCTCTATCTATCTATCTCTATCTCTCTGCACATGCTTAGAGGAAAGCTATGTGAGGACAAAGTAGCCATCTACAAACCAGAAAGAGAGCCCTCACAAAAAACAGATGATAGATCTACGTGACTTCATCTTGAACTCCTGGCCTCCAGAACTGTAAGGAAATAACTTTTCATTGTTCAAGGCATCAGCCTAAGATATTTTGTTATGGCAGCCCAAGCACACTAATATAGTCTTAACATATATAATCTCACTATAATATCTGCTATGACACACCTCTTTCCTTAGTTAATGGTAGAGAGACAAGAACCTGAGTCATCCATTGTCAGTGTTTCTGTTGGCCATATTCTCAGGCACTGGTAACCCCACTAATTGAGGGCGTGATAGCAGCACTGCAATCCCACCCTTTTCTCTTGGTTTTATTAAGACCAAGGGATAGATAGTCATAGACATCAAGGTATGGGCAAAGCTAGTGGCCTGTGATTGTCCTTGATCCAGAGCTGTGAAAAGTAACAGCTGTAGAGTTGCTTTCCAGGTCTGGAAAATTCAAAAGTCACCACTTTCTATGTGGCTGAGATTGATCATAGAAAAATAGGGCTGTGAGGCTTCTATCTCTGGAAGCAGAGCTGCTTCATCTAAATGTATGAGCATGTGTATGCATGTCTCACTCTGTTTATCCTCAGGGTAAACACTTCAGTGTCTGATGAAGGGTCCAGTTCTGGGTGTCATTCAGTATCTATTCATTAGCTACATGTACGTCAGCGTTACTTAACTTCTTCTATTCTCCTCCTTACTCATCTTTAAAATGGGGTTAATAACTTGTTTTGTACTGCTAACATGATGCCTAGAAACCAGTAAATATTTGGTAAATGGTAGATGTTATTATTATTATTATTATTATTATTATTATTAATGACCTATTTTTAAAATGAAGATTTTTTAGAACTAAATCTTTAGCCCTTTTTACCTTGTGCTAAAAGTATAAAGCATTCCTACTAGGATGACTTCCCCATAGAGACAATCATCTGATAATCCATTTGGTCTCTGGGCTGAGTTCCTCTTGGTGCTGCTGTGTGCAGAAACAGCAGGATTCTCATCCTTTTTAAAGGCCATCAAGTAAAAGTTTATTGTTTTATGGGGGGGGGGAGAAGGCCCTTCCACTGAAACATATAATCACATTTCATATGCGTGCATGTGAAAGCCATCATATTCTACATGGTACAAACCAAACCCTTGAAGTCTATATACTAAGGAAAAATAAATCAGGGAGGTGGAGCAGGCAAGCCTATCTTTGAAGTAGGCTTCAACTCAAAAGCATAGGCATTCAGGCAGGCAGAGGAAGGGAGGAACATGCTGTACCCACCTGCCACTGCTGATGAGGGGCTTATTTCTAAGACACACACAGCACAATGCACACACAATGCAGAGAGAAAACAAAAGACATAGATCACACATTTCAGATGGTTGGTGGACAAAGTTTAGTTAATGTCGATGCCGAAAGCTTGTTCAAGGTCTGAAGTACACATGGCAAAATGAATACCTTTTCATTCTACTCACCAGATGCTTCCCTCTTACCAAATCTCAGCAAATAAACAAATACATACACACAAGAAATATCACAACAAGCTAGCTCTGGTCCATGGTGTGAAATGTTGCACAGGGAGATGGACACAGCAGTATGAGAAGACTGAGTGAGGGAAGGATAAGAGCTTCCCAGCGGGCAGTCATGCTCTGGAGACCTCTCCGTCCACGTGGGAGGGAAAGACCTTCAGAGAACGCTCTGATGCTCCTGCTGTGGACAGAACAGTCACCTTGAAGACTCAGAGGACTGCTCCATTCATTCCAAAGGGATGAGAACATGACACGGCAATCAACATGAGAATCATGATGGCAGCAGTTGACTTGGTTTAAAACTATAAATATATTCCCCCAAAATCATAGACTCTTACTATGAAAATTATTTGAAAATTATACCTAATTTCCCCACCAGACTTTTACATAGTACTACAATTGAACTGTTCCATGGTTCTTTCTTCTTCACGGCAACCACCACTCAGCTCGGCTCAGAATTTAGTTTACCCCTTTTGTAAGGTGTGAACCTTGTCTTCCAATAGACCAGGAGATATCAATTACCTTGTAAATATCACTGGATCACATGCCAGGAGAATGACAGGGAGAAACATTTCATATCTAAGGGTGGTGGGTTAAGCAGTAATGGATGGACACAGGCCAAGCAGATCTTGCCTTCCTCCCTCCTGAGTCCCTCATGCTCCCCCTCATGGCCGAGCCCACTGCATCCGGGCTTCCTGCACTCACCATACAGTGTGATGCTGGCATTGGTGTTCCCAAGCTTGTTTGTTGCCACACAAGTATAGTTCCCATAATCCTTTTCTGAAACATTGAAGAAAGTCAGAGTGGATATGCGACCTTTGTTCTCAATCCTCACGCCGTCCAGGCCGGTTGCTAGCCTGCAATAAGAGAAGGTACTGCTGGTCTGGTTCTACAAGACTGAAACAGCAGACAGAAGGTGCTGCGAGGACTCAAAGGTACCATATTTAATCCTACAAGAAGGCCTTCCTCCTCACAGAAAGCCTTTTCCTCTAACTATCCCAGTTCCAGTAACTCAAACCATAAGCACCACAGCCTCTATCAGGAGACAGAAGGGAAGGAGGCTCTTATTCCACAGGCTAACTCTACTAGCTTCTTGTCATTAAAGACTGCCATGTTTACAACGAATCTCAGATTCTCAGACAAGCTCCATTCATTTCACCCACTTCCCAGCTTCCTCCAATGATTGTTTGTTTGTTTGTTTCTGGTTCTATAAGGAGACTGTGTCATACAGAAGGCTGTAATGCCTTTTGGTTCTGCCATATCTTTCTCCTTTACTTGATCATTCTCCTTCCATGCGAGAAATGATCTATCACCTCTGCTTCAGACCTGCTCTATTTCCATTTTTCAAGTTACCTGGTATCTTCTTTAAACCACTGGAATTCAGCTGTAGGCACAGCAGAGGCTTCACAGCTCAAGATGCCCTTCTGACCAACTGAGACACCGGTGTTCTTGGCTTTTGAGATATAGGGAGGGTCTGTGGGGGGGTGGGGGGAAATGCAGAGTGATTCCATGAAGTGGATGAAAGGCGAGTTCAGTCACTTGATGTGCAAATGGATTTCTCGTGACACCCCACCTTCCCAGTTAAATAACCATTAATTTTAGGACAAGAACTTGCTTGAAAATACTGCATTTACCCCAGGATCTTCTTCATGATTTCAAACCAATTCAAAGTTAACAATGCTCCCCATTAGCTAAAAGCTGTGAGAGTCACAGGAAGGCTCCAGGGCAAATAGCAGTGGAGACGGTGATGGAGCGTAGCAACCTGATAAAGTATTTTCCTGTTGGAAGCAAGCATTGCCAGTCCCAGCCCATCCCCTTCATCCCTATTCCCTGGTTTCCCCTGGAACTCCCTGACAATGGGTCAACTCACAGTTAACAGTGATTTTGACTTTCCGCACGTCAGGTGCAGCGACATCATTCAAGGCGCTGCATTCATACTCCCCAGACTGGTCACGTTTGATGTCAGAGATTTCCAGGTATTCATCCTCACTCACAAAGCCCTGGCCTTCTGGGAGGAAAGAAACAGACAGTAAACAATAGTGAAACTGTAAAACCAGGGACAGAGCTATATTCACATCCAGAACTAGTAGGAGAAGGAATATGAAAAGCTGTAGAAATGGGATTTGAACATCGCAATTATAAAAAACATCATGTTGGCTCAAAAGTATGGCATTTGAAAAAAAGAAATTTTCTGCTTGAGTCTTGAGTCGATACGTTTTTGTTTAAGTCACTTTAACTTTTTAGACCATTTGATAAGAAGGAGACACCATTGTTTTTCTTATATGGTTATTGTTAAGATTAACTAATAGAGTACATGCAAAATACCCCAGCACATTACTAAACTTTGATTATTTAAAGAGAATTGTCATGATCAATAATATAATGAAAACTGTGGGAATAACTTCAGAGTATGTCAGTATGGCCGTCTTAAGTTTTCACCATGTAGAAATGCCTTTGAATAGAGAATACTAACTACTAACTGCATTGTAGAAAATAAGTGACCACTTAGCATTTTAATACACATAAATGCAAAGCAGTTACTTTGGTTTCAAACTGTGCAGGAGTAGATAAAATGGTGAATGAATGAATAAGGAAGCACTTTGTGACTGCTATGTATCTGGTGCTCAATAAACATTTGACAACATAAAAAAAAAAAAACATGATAGTCCCAAATGATGGAGCCTTGGTTAGTTGAACAGACTCATGGACTTAATACCCAACTTTGTAGGGCATTCTGGAGGGTTTATCCTCAGGCACTTGTGAAGCTTGCAATTCATAATTCAAAATGTTCTAGGGCTGCAAAATTTACATTGCTTGCAGTCTCCATTACATGCTCTTGACACACTCTGGCCCCTCTGCCTTATCCCACACCCTGTGGTTCAGTGGAAGGAAAACAGACCCTCTGCCTTGAAATGCAAATCTTCTGAGTTCTGTGGAGGCACCGACTCCAGTGAAAACGCAGCCAACACAAAGGTTAAGGAGGAAGTACAGCCATTTACATTTGTATAGGCCTGCTGCCTGATTCCTTTCTGTGTTCCAGGAGCTAGAGAGAAATTAGTTTTCAGGGCTAGGAGACTCATTATAACTTTCATCACACCCCTGTAGAAGTATATTCTGATCCAATGGATGTTCAATCAACTAACCCTGAGTCCACTATCTGTATAGAAAAGGGTTGTACGGTGTCTCTGGGGGATGGGTGATGGTTGAAGGTAGGGAGGCAGAATTTTTGGCATCCTGACTTGACTTCAAGTCTAAGCCTTGGGGAGTTTCCACCCACTCTACCCATTTCCCAAAACTTTTTTTTTTTCCAGCTCTTGCTGCCCTCCCTGCCTTCCTCTCCTATCCCAGGTCATGCCCACCCAGGCTGGTTACCAAGACAACCCCTAGAAAGTGTGGAGCCTTAGTCAAATATTTTTCAAGGGGCCCCTCTCTGTATAGACATTTGAGTTATCTAAAATCAGTACCATTTTTGTAGCCCAATCTCATGCAATCTTATTAAAAAAGACTCTCATTGGCCAGCAGGAGCAATCCATTTGCCAGACCACCCTCCTGGAATGAGGACCTGTTGGCAGAGCCCCAGGACAAGCCCACAGGTATGCGATACATAATTCTGGGTGATCTGGTTGAATCCATGTGAGGAGTGGTTGAGGGTAGAGGTTGGAAATGTGCTCTGAAGGGGTGAAATGGGGCCTGGAGCAGGCTCAGACTCCATCTAGAATCTGAGTGTCTTTTCTGAATGGTATTGCTGGCCTAGGCTGGTCTCAGGCACAACGGGGAACTTAGAAAATTTCAAGGAAGACACTCCAGAGCATGGCACCTCATGGGGTTTGGGGTAGGGCCCTACTTGCTGGGATCTCAGAGTGGTAGTGCTGGTCACAGCCTTCTACCCCAACACACATTTAATCATTCAGGATAGTTCATATCTTAATTCCTCAAAGTTTATTGAAGGGATATAAACATCTCATCCTTTTTTCCTTATTTTTCTTAGATCTAACAGAATCTCTGAGATCACTTATTTCAGGAAGTCTAAGAAAGACGAATATTGTCTCACTTGTTGAAATGGTGTTGGTTCAGCAATCTTAGTATTTATAAGAGTTAAACAACAATTAAATCAAACACACCAAAATGATTTTCCAGATTCACTGCACTGTACCTTTTCT